AAGGACAGTAAACGTGTTACCCTTTCTTTCTGCTGAGTTGCTGAACTGTTTGTGGACAAGGGGGTGAGGGGGGGGCGGTGACTCAGAGGGTAAGAAGTTTGCTTTGCACTTGACTTTGCACTGTACCGGCTTCAGATCCCATGCACAGCGTCAAATTTCTCTTACTCAATGTTAGTTCAATTCAACAAGCAACCCATCCATCCCACTGTCGTCAGGTGCAGCCAGTCCATAATCGGGTAGCAAACCGTTGACCTGCGGATAATGGAGAGTATGGTTTTTTGGTGCAGTCATGCAAGTGCGTGCGAGGCGTACGATTATACTGTCTGATGAGTGTTCCTTACGTCTGCAATACGCCTTCCCCCACTTGACAGTCAGCTGCTTGATCTTGCCACCATACAACGGGATTGCTCAGTCAGTAGAACGTCTTCCTTAAAATAGAAAGATTTCAGGGTTCGTGTACCTGAAGGATCACTCTCCTTTCTTCCCTCTGAGATTGCTAAACGTGTGCCATTTTGTAGGAACGAAACAGCAGACTACTACATGCAATATTTGCCACACACCTTTCGACACTGCCTTTGAAATAAGGCGCTCTTGGCTGATGGCTTCAGCGCCGCAAAATAAATTTTATAAACAAACAAGGACTTCACAAATAAGCCCGTTCATGAAAATATAATGGAGACGATATTTCTAAGGTACAGACTCTCTGTTCTTTTTTCCTCTGAACTGCTTGATCGATCGAAATGTAGCAGCCAGGTAGACGGCGGCAGTCACAACTCTTCTTTGAGATCGTGCTTGCCTCTATGGCAATGATCCTTGTAAATCAGAGATAAAATTTTTTCGTCTTGGAGAAACCAAGAGGCCCTTTACGAGTTGTCAGGTACCACTCATCAGTAGTCACCATCCATCGGTCATCAGTGACCACACTCCACGTCTAGCGTGGTGCGTTTTGTTTTCCTTGCTTTCCACGATGATATCTTTTGCTTTGCTTTATTGTCTGACTACTGAACGGGAGGAAGGTACGGTCATTGAGCATAATCCCCTAAGATCCTCTTTTCATGGTCCTCTCAGCAACTACAGCTAATGTTTTCAGTCACTTACGTCAGGATAGCTGGCTAACGGTAATAATAAGAATATGGTTTGAGCGATATTTATACATTATGTGTCTGAAATATCAGTCGGTCAGCAGAAGTCAGCCGTGTTATCGACAGCGACACGTTGTCCTCAGCGGCGTGTCACTGGTTAAGGGAGCAAAGGAACTAACGACGCTTTGTTTAGGTAAAAGATGCGACGATGCTGATCGATGCCCCATATGCGGAGAGGTGGTGGCAACGTCAGAAACCAGTCGACATTTCGCCAAAGAAGCTGCTGAACTGGAAGAACAATTCATAAAGTAAATTTTGGCGCTGCCTGCCAAGCTCTCTCTTGCTCTCTCGCCATGGCGACGCCAATGGCTTCTTGTTTTGTTGTTTCAGGCTCAAATCTGAATTTGGTGCGGTCGATCTCAAATCTGAGGTTTGTAAGGAGAAAGAGCAGAACATCGAGGGCCGCTACGAGGTGTACGCGCGCATCAAGAGCAATCGCGAGAATCGCTTGAAAGGTTCGTTGTTCCTCGATGGTTGACACTTAAGAACCGCTCTTTCACGTACCGACCGACCAACAGTCGACTACGACGTTCGTTCGGCGGCGACGGGAGGCCGACGACGCGCTGCTAATTGTTTTTTCTCTTTTTAGCCAAACTCGTCTACTGGAAAACCTTCCACGAGCCGTGCTCTTCGTACACAGCGGCGAAAAATGACGAAGATACAGTAAGTGATGCGCTGACTTGCCCCCCCCCGCCTACCTCCCACTCGTCGCTTGACCCTTCGTGCTGTTGTCACCTGTCGTACTTCAGTAACGCGCACCACTGACAATGCGTCGTTCGTTTTCCCTCCATTGTTCTTAAGGTACAGCCGCAGAGATATGAAACGGATATGCTGCTGCGTGAAGCAGGAACAGGAACAGCGATCGCAAGTTTAACTTTCACCAGAAGCGCCCTCGAAACGCAATCACTATTGACTCATAATCAGCAGCACCAGAAACAAAACTGACTCAGTCGACGGTGAGGACTTTAGCGACAAAAGCGACGCCGCGTCGCGTCGCGCGTCATTTGCCTTGAGCACTGTCCACTCAGAGTGAACCAAGAACCTAAATTTCAGGAGGCGCCCGATGGACGATAGGACACCATCCGTAGATAACTACCCTCATAAGGCTTAGCGCATGGCTGACCTCTTGTACGTGCAATCGCCGCCCAGTTGGCCAAACGTCGCTGCGCTTTCTGGCAGCAGCGGCGGCGGCAACACGAGGCAACTTTTGCCTGCAGAGGGATTTGTTATGCCTCACGTCCACAGATCAAAACAGACGGAAGCCGCTGTAGGTTGCTTTCTGTATCAACGTCGACCACACACCTCATGCTTCTACAGTAAGGCGTCAGAGTAGTTGAGGTTACTGAATGATTTGTCAGTGTTGTTTAGGAATGCGCCAAGTAATAGATTATACAAAATGCCACAACCTTTCACCGTGAAACCTGCCCGAAGAACTAGTTTGTTTAATGAGTACATCGAAGCCAGTCAAAAATGCTAGCCTATGTGGCACATGTTAGCAATCTAGGAGTGGAACTGTATTTCTGTTGCTGTCTGTCAGGCAGTCTCCGTCAGACCTCCAATCAATCACCCAAAGTTGATTCACCAACGAATGCACCCGAAAGGAAGATCGACGCTGCTCCGCTGGTAGAGCGTCTGACTCAGAGCTGAGAGGTTCCAAGTTCCAGTTTCAGTTAGGGTCACTCACGTTTTTTCCTTCCAGCGTTGATAAGTACCACTCTGTAAGAAGAAGAAATGAGACTACATAATATGCTTACTAAATTGCTGTTGTCGATTCTGCCCTTAAATTAAGGAACTCCTGGTTGATTGCATGGAAATGGAGGTCAACGCCGTACCATTAACTTGATTGACGGAAGGGCGCCAGAGGTGGACTAATCATGGAAATGTAATAAAGAGGTTGTCATTTCAACGGTTACAAACTTTCCTTTTACTTTTCCTTTACACCATAAATTGTGCCCAAAGCAGGGTGGCATGGTGGCTACAAGACAACGTCATAAAACCATATGAGTCTCCATCGTCACCGTTAACCAAAATACACTTTGGGATGATATTGCAGAAAAAACAACTGGTCCATTTCAAGCACCTTAGAAAAGTTTTGGCTAGACTTTTGACTTTGAAGTGAGCCGATGCACTGGACTTGCATCTGTAAAATTTGGCATGGCTTGTGGCATTAAAAAAGATGGAAGTATAGGAATGACTTCTAAAATCCCTATCCTGAATGCAGCTTGATTGGCATTGTTCGAATATAGTCTGGAAGCGTGTGCTCTCTTCAAACGTCATGACGCCCGTCTCGACGGCATGGAACGCTGTCAGCAATTTATCCTCACGGTGTTTTTGCGCCGTCGCGTAACGAGTGAGCTGTTGTTGAAGGTTGGCAATTTCAAAAAATTACAGAACTCAAAGATTAACGCCTGGCGTCATTTAAAGAAAACGACCCAAAATGAATATTAATTTATGCAATGAGTGATTTCATGACTTTTCTCAGGGAACCGTGCTCTGGTTACAAACACGTTGGAAATAGTACGAAACGCGAAAACACCTCGTTGACGTAGACCTGCTTGCGACGAAGAATACGACGTCTGTCTCGGCAGTTAACGTCGCTTAATGTTCATCCAAAATACTACTTCTAACTTGCAGACAACAGTGCTGAATTAACTTGCTGTTTATTCTTGGTTAGACTAGGAGAACGATGACAACATGCAACATCCATAGCTAATTAGTTTGGACAGTCAGCGTTCGCTTTCACTCCATGCCTCAAACTGTGCTACTTTTGTAATGTGTTGGAATTCAGTGACCTGAGTGTACAAAACGTAAGTGTCACGTGCAAGGCTACATGTCAACCATGCTAAATTGCAGCCTTGTCCTGTCGTTGGTGTAAATATTTTTATTCATCATTGAAAACGTTCCGGTTTAAACTGCAAATGACTATAAACCTAGTAATTTCTTTGATCAACGAATGTGACAACAGTTTTCCTGAATGTGGCCTAGTTGTTCGCCGTTTAACGATACGAGTACAACCAGTACTCGATGGATACACGTACAACAGAACACACTTCTCGCTGCACAGCAGCCTTCTCAAACATGAATATGTATAGTTTACATTTTTGCAGTTCATGAAGATATATGATATCACATTGATATATCGGGATGATGCAGCTGTAAGAGACTTTTATACCCATAAGTCTGTTTCGTAGACAGATGGTGCCAAAATCATTTGTAAATATCAGTTTTTACCTAATAGGCTTGCTGATGAATTCTCGTCCAACCGTTTTATGATTAACTACAGATTCATCCCATCACAGCCACGGTAGTGGCTAAAGTGCGTATGTTCCAGCTGACTTTGCCATAACATGAAATCTGGGTGTGTTAAATCTCTGCTTTTCAGCATTGCCATGTGACAAAGGTACTCAGACAGGAACGAGTATAGGTTACATCAGAACAGTAAGCGTCGAGGGCCACCTTCATTTTTCCTCCAGACGAGTGGTGCATGTCTCACCGTATGCAGATTAAACCGATAAGTTCGGCTTAGCTTTAAAAAAATTATAATGAAGCCGAATTGAAACGGCGAAAATTCTAAGTGTAAAGAAAGAAAAATATATTTCTCACTTTACACCAGCAATACCGTTACACCGCCCATTGCTTGTAGACGCCTAGGAGGACATTTATGCAGGTCACAGCTCCATGGTATTTCAGCTCTTGCATTGCATGGGA